GTCCTTTAAAGTCAAGATTGTACACTACATTATTAGAGTTCTGATGTCTTTCCACATTTATTTCTTTATGTCATTATTATGGTTCTTGAATTGTTTTCTTGGTTCTGTTTATTTCACTCTTCATTAGTGAATATGTTTTTTCAAGTTTCTCTAAATTCTTCATATTTCTCATATTGCAATATTCAATTACATTGAAGGACCCCTTATCCCCATTTTTTGGCTAGTCTCCAATTAATCAGCATCCACTTTTCTTCTAGTTCTTTGCTACTACAAAAAGTTCTGCTATGACTATTTTTATATACAAGGTGTTCCAAATGTCTTAGTACAGTCTTTAGCTTTAGTAGTTTTAATAGCTTAAGACTGCACTAACGCATTTAAGACATCCTGTATAGGGGGCCTTTCCTGCCTTCTATAACATCCCTAAGGTACACTCTGAGTAGTAATATTGCTGGGTCAGAGGGTATGCACAGTTGAGTGACTCTTTTGGTAAGATTCCAAATTGTTTTCTAGAATAATTAAACCAGGTCACAACTCCAGCAGTGGTGCATTTGTATGTCTATTTTACTGATACCTCCTCCATCATTTACCCCTTGACTTTTTGTCTTATGTGACAATATGATCTTTTTTCCAATTTTATTTCTTTGATTTTCAGAATTTCAAACTTATGTTTATTGGGGGGTTATTGTTTATTTTCTAGGGGTTTTTTTGTTTATGTCATGCTCAATTCATTCACTTCTTTCTTTTTGCTAGTTAAAGTGTTTTTAGAGATAAATATTTTCCTCCAAGGACTACTTTGGCTATATACTATAAGTTTTATTGCATTATTTCATTACTTTTATAATACAGTTTTTGGTTTCTATGAATTGTCCATTGACCTGGTTACTTTGGGGGATGACATTATTTAGTTCCAATTTAAATCTGAATCCTTTCTTCAAATTTCTCCTATTGATTATAATTTTTTTGTGGTTTGTAAAAATTGTTTAATATTTCTGTGTTTCTGCATTTATTTGTATGTTCATTGTGCCCTAGTACATTTCTATAAAGGTGTCCTACAACATTGAAAAATACACACACTTATTGTCATTCAGTGGTTGTAAAAAGTCTATCCTAAATAATTTTTTCTAAAATTGTGTTTATATTCTTAGCTTCTTGTTTGCTTTCCCCTTTAATTTTGCTAGTTCTGGAAGGGATAAGTTTAAGTCCACCATAATTTTTGTTTTACTGTTAAAATCCTCCAAGTAGTTCAATTAATGTTCCTTTAAGCACTTATATGCATGAAGAGGCATAGCTCTATATTTAGCATTGATATTCTTTTATTATTTATGGTATCTTTAAGCATAATGTAGTTTGCCCACTTACTTAACCATGCCTATTTTTACTGTTGCCTTAATTGCAACCCCTATAAAATTCAGCTGAGGCCTAATCAGTTTTACTCTGGCCTGTCATTTTTAACTCTGTATGAATCTAGAGTATAAAGACAGAAATGGAAGGTGGAGTGTTGAGTGTGAATATTAACAAATAAGCCAGTGCCAGACCATGAGTTTAATGTAGAAAGTAATGTAAAATTAGGTTGGCATCAGATTGTGAAGAATTTTCAACAATAAATGGAGTTTATATTTTGTTGTTGCTGTTATTCAGTCACATCCAACTCTTCATGGCTCCATTTGGGGTTTTCTTGGCAAAATACTGGAGTGGTTTGCCATTTTCTTCTGCAGTTCATTTTACAGAAGAGGAAACAGAGGCAAACAGGGTTAAGTGACTTGCCCAGGGTCACACAGCTAGTTTCTGAGGGCATATTTGAACTTGGGTCTTTCTGACTTCAGGCCCAACAATGTATCTGCTGAGACACCTAGCTGCCCAGTTTATATTCTATCTTAGAGGAAATAGAGAGTCACTAGGATTTAAGTAGAAGAGAAACATGATTAGATCTGTGCTTGGAAATCACTTTGTCAGTCTTCAGTGGTTGAAATTTGTTTTGTTTCTGCTTATTCTTTCCCCCAACACTATCCCAGAATGGTGAGGCCTTGAATCTATGCCATGTAAGGATCAGTTGAAGAGACTTGAGATAACATAGTGGAAAACCAGCTTGAAAACCAGAGATCCCAGGCATAATTCTGCTCCTGCCACTTAATAGTTATTTGACCTTGGACAAGTAACTTCAGTTTCCTCAGCTATAGAAAGAAAATCTCTGGTTCCACATTTAATCTGGAAAAGAAAAGACTCAGACACCTGTGTGATAGTTTCGCCTCCCCACCCCAAGTATTTGAAGAGCTATCATATGGAAGAGTGATCTACCATGTTCTGTTTGACCCTAGAGAGAAGAACAAAGAATAGTGAGGAGGAACTGCAAAGAGGCAAATTTAGGCTGATGTCAAGGGGAAAGAACCTTCTCTGACATTTAGATATTCAAAGGTGGATTAAGCCGCCTGGGGGTTTCTTCTGATTGGAGATCTTGTAACCTGAGGATGGATGACTACTTGGTCAAGAATGTTGTAGAAGGAATCCTTATTCAAAAATAGGTTAGACTACAATTTTATATACACACAAACATATATAAAATCCCCGTATGTGTATATGTACACCTTGCTATTCCTTTGAAATATATAATCAATTTAGCATGTAACTTTTTTCTTTTTTTCTCTCCTCTACAAATACAATGCATACATATTAGTATATGTGCTACATATTACGTATATATGTTAATATATACATATATGCTGATATAAACATATGTTGTATACGTAATATATACATATTTGTGCCTAATGGTAGCCATCGGGGGGGAAGAAAAAAAAGGAAAAAAAGAAAGTTATATGATAACTTTATTATACATTTAAAAGGAATAGCAAGTTGTACATAATAGATCTGCAGTTTTGTGTGCAATCATCTTTTTTTTTATTCTAATATGTTATGGAAATGCTTGTTTTATTTCATAAATTAAAAATAAAATAGAATTAAAAAAGAATAGGTTAGACTAGCTAATCCTTTCCAACTTTGAAATTCTGTGATTTTCTGATTCTGTCAAGATGAATACAGGGCAGGAGAGTTAGGCAGGGACAGGAAAAAAGCAGAAGTAGTAGGGAGAGCTTGAATTAGTGAGGAATTGAGTGTAAAGGGCGTCAAGGTGGCACAGTGGAGAGAGTGCTGGGCCTGGTGTCAGGAAGACTCATCTTCTTGAGTTCTAATCTGGCCTCATACTTCCTAGCTGTGTGACCCTGGACAAGTCACCTGCTTGCCTCAGTTTCCTCATCTGTAAAATGAGCTGGAGAGGGAAATGGCAAACCATTCCAATATCTTTGCCAAGAAAACCCTATTTGGGGTCACAAAGAGTTGGACATGACTGAAAAACGACTGAACAAGGGTAGAAAAGGCGAAAATCATTATTGAATTCTGACTTTACAATTTCATAGCCCTCAATATGAACCTCCAGGTTTGGCCATGAGGATGGACCTATATCCATCAGAATGAGTGGCATATAAAAAAGAAACCCCAAAGGGCTCCTATGTCAATGTCCCAGCCTACTGGCCTCTGGGAGACTGGGTAGCATTAATTTCTGGAGCCATCTACTAACGAGGAAGTCCACCTGTTTCCCAGGTTAGCTTCAGGCTTGCATAAATTCTTTGCTTGAATGGCATGAATTTCACTGCTCAGTTTCGACAGAAGCTGCAGTCAAGGACAGCTGTCAAAATCATTCTGCTGTGGAATATATGGACAAGTACATTGTGTTTAAGCCCTGAGGGCAAGACTAATATGAGAGAACTGGAGCTCTTTGCTGTTGTAATACAATGGAATCATGGATTAACTCACAGCATAAAGAATGATTCTTGGCCAGGTACTGGGTGAACTAGGTAGCCTCTGATAGTCCTTCTGACATATCTAGGATTTAGTAAATGCTATTTAATCACTCTTTTCCCTATATAAAGGATGACAGTGTAATAACTGATAACATACATATATACATTTATCTGAATATATGCATGTGTGTGTGTATATGTGTATACACGCATATAGGTGTCTGTTATATACATGCGCACATACACACATGTGTTTTAGAATAGCACTAGAATAGCAATGATTCCATCGATATAGAGAACTCCGGGATGAGTCTATAATCAAACAAGAAGTATGTGTGAGAAACAGCATTTGAATCCAGGTCTTTCTGATTCCAAGTCCAGGCCTATATCCACTAACCCAGAGGTGGGGAACTTGAGGCCTTGAGGCCACCTGTGGCCCTCTAGGTCCTCAAGTGTGGCCCTTCCACTGAATCCAAACAGTTTGGAGGCCCAGGTTCCCCACCCCTGCACTAACCCATGCTCTTCCCTAAATTCTAATTTTCCCCGGTTAATTCTGTTATTAGCAGCCATGAATAACAATTAGTGAATTAGCCCAAGACTGAAAAGGCCATTGTGAAAGGAAAAAAAGAATCATTGTTTCCAGATCCATTCAAGTTTTGGGATGGTGTTGACAAGTGAGAGAGTTTAGTCCTGGGTTCTGCTGATATCTGTGGGACCTGAGATGAGTTTCAGTTTCCTCATCTACATGGAAAATGAGGGGATTATACTACAAGATTTTTGAGATCACTTCCAGTTCTAAAGCCTTTTATTTAAAAAGGTTCCAAGTGTAACGGACTGGATTTCTTAGGAACTGGTTCACTTGGGTAGAATTGGATTAGGACCTACCCATTCATTTCATAAAAGTTGTATTGAGTATCACATGGTTATAGATTGGTAACCAATGCAGGAAAATCAGAGCTTTGCCCAAAGGTGAGCAATTTAGAGACCTTAGCAGTTCAATGTATGCCCTCCTTCAGAAGAGTAAAAGTTCAAGTATAGGCCAAAGATCAGGGGATATAGATTCAGAATCTGGGCAGCTAATGAGACTATAGACTATAGACTGCTCCCTCTCTCTCTCTCCCATTTTGTAAAACAATCTACAACCCATCCTATCCTGTTTACTCCCCAGAGTTTCAAATTCCATTTGTCTTTTCCCAAAGGACCAACCTGTTTTCCTTCCTCTCTTCCTCTGTAAAGAACAACATTTCCACCCAGCAAGGGTGAGTAATCTGAGTGTTTCCATTCTTCCCAAATGCTGTAAGGGGGAAAATTTAACTGAGGCCTCTCTGGTGGAGTGGAAAAAATATGGGACCCTATATATTCTATGGGTTGGTCTAGATGACCTCAAGATTCTTCCAGCTCTAAAATTCTATTCCTCTAAGTCACTATAGTAACTATTTCTCCCTCCCACTCAACTGAATTTGTTTCAGTGACTCCTTCTTCATGCCATTTCCTATGCCCTTTCCAGCAGGGAAAAGAGGAATAGTGAAGTGGGGTCTCCCAGCCAATCATCCGACCATGCCTACTGTCTCATGCCGTACTTGCCTCCAGTCTCCTTCGGAAAGAAGATTGGTGCCTTCTACTCAATGATGAACGTTTGTTTTTTAATGATGGACATTCTTAGATCCAGTCATACCCTTCACATACCACTATTCTGAACCCCTGTAGGTCATCATCCAAATTCCATTCTTCACCCCTCCCCTCCCGTTTCTTTATTCCCATCCCCCTCAAACCTCCTTCCCCAAAATTTCAACCAAACACTTCTCAGTCTTCCACTGTGCCCTGTGGAATGCCTGTTCCATAGGCAACAAATGTCCTTCATCCTAAAGCTTTTCCTCTCCCACTCCTTCCATCTATTAGGCATTACTGAAAACTTCACCGTGGTACAACCTCTCTGACCACCCTTTCCCATTCTGGATGCACCCTCACTCATTCCCCTCAACTCACTGGTTGAGGTAGAAGAGTTGGAATACTCCTTGCTTCCCACTGCTGCTTCCAGGTTCTCCTACTCCATCACTCAGTAACCTCTTCTCCTTTGAGGCTTATGCTATTCATATGTACAACCCAATCAAAAGCCTAGTAGCTATTGTCTACAGACTGTGCTGCATTTCCTTCCTCAGTGAATTCAGTACTTGGCTCACAATTTTTCTTTCCTCTCCAACTATTGCCTTTATATCAGGGTACTTTGCCATATATCCTCAAACACCTTAACCACTCAGGTCCTCAACATGCTTCCTTCCCATGACCTACCTCCACTCCACCTCAGCCACACACAAAGGTGGTCATACCCTTGACCTTGCCATCTCCCACAAATTTACCACCTCTGTGTTCAAGAATTCTGAAATCCCCTTATCTGACCATGATCTTTTGGCTTTTAAGCTCTCCCTCTGCTGTCCCTTACGAAACCCTACTCTTGGATTACAACCACAACCTCTAATCCCTTTACCCTTCAATTCTCTCCCATGCCATCTACCTTGCACTAGCCATTCCTTCCTCTCTTCCCCATCTTCACCTCTTGATGAACTAATTCAACACTACATTGTCCTTCTCTCTTGAATCACCAGACCCAATATCATGTCACCAATTATATAATCACTGATTATACCCTCCCAAGCCTTAGCCTTGTATCACTCTGACCATTGCCACTTTTGCTCTTACCCATATGCTACTAAACAAAGGTAGAGAAAATCTTGCAAGCATTCTCACTGGATTCCCTATAAATTTAGGTTGCACGACCTCTACTGGACCCTCACTGCTCCTAGGCTGCATCCCACTCTCTATAGTAGCTCTTCCAAACCTTTTCATCTCTCCTCACACCTTCCATGGCTCCCTCTCTCCCTCCTCTCTCAGCTAAGAACCTTGCCTCATATTTTACAGAAATAATGTTGAGGTCATTTGCCATGCACTCCCTCTTTTTTCCCTCCTCCTCATCTCCTATCACTTATATGCCTTTTGCAACTATCCCCTCCTTCACCCCCAACTCACATGTTGAGGTAGCCACATTCCTTACCAAGGCTAACCCATCCACCTGCTAAAGCAATCCCATTCTATCACATCTCTTCCAACTGGTGCCCTTTCTGTTATCCCCACTCCATCACTACTTTAAATCTCTCCCAATCTATTGGTTCATTTTCTACTGTCTACAAACATGTCCAAGTCTCCCCCATACAGAAAAACACACCCTTGATCCTTCCATCCCTGCTACCTATTGTCCTATATATTTTCTGCCTTTTATAGTTAAACTCCTTGAAAAGGCCATCTGCAACAGGTGCAACTGCTTTCTCTCCCCTCCTTCTCTCCTTAACCCCTTCCAATCCAGTTTCCAACCTTATCCTTCTGCTGAAACCACTCTCTCCAAAGTTATCAGTGTTGTCTTGGTTGCCAAATTCAATGGCCTTTTTTCAATGCTCATTTTCCTCAACCTCTTTGCACCCTTCGACACTATCGATCACTCTCTCAACTACTCATTCACTCCACATATTCAATTAGTTGCCAAAGATTTCTGTCCTTCCACAATCATTCATATATGTCCCCTTCTTTCTACTCACATGATGACTGCCACCCTAGTTCATGTCCTCATTGTTTCTTACCTAAACTATTGCGATAGTTTCTCTCTTTTTTGCCCTTTGTAGGTACATTCCTTAAAAAGGTACTTCCACTTTCTCTCCTCTCATCCTCTTCTTAATCTCTTACAATCTAATTTCTGACTTTATCGTTCCACCAAAATGGTACTCTCCAAAGTTACCAATGATCTCTTAAATCCAATGGCCTTTTCTCAGTCCTCATTCTTCTTGATCTCCCAGCAGTTTTTGACACTGTTGATCACCCTCTTCTCTCCAGGTTTTCAGGACACCACCTTGCCCAGTTCTTCTTTTACCTTTTAGACCACTCCAGGGCAGATGGGGTGTTCAGGGAAGACTAGCACCTCTGGTGTGAAGGCTTGCTATCAGGGCTGCTCATCTACATTTGGTGTTTACCTGTCACCCAACCCTCACCTATGGCTCCAAGAAGCTGTAGTATGTGGGGCAGCCACATCCTGGCAAAACCAGCTCAGCAGATAGGCTAAGCCAGGTTGAGAGTAATGGACAGGTCTCAAACCATCAGTGAGTTAGGGAAATGACTACTCCAAACATGTGAAGACTCTCCCCCAGCAGAACGGGGGGATGAGGACAAGTTGTTCCAACAGACATGAAGGCAGCTGAAGTAGGTGGTGTGAAGCAATTAGAGCTTGGCCAGACATGGAAAACATCAAGATCATCTGCTGAATCCTGGGCTATTGACAATTGTCTTGACTTTTGTCCTGCCACTGTACTTGAATAACTCTGAAGGAGAGAGTGAGGCTGATAACTTTGCACAACTCTGCCTCTCTTAAATCCGATTCACAGGCAAGTCAAAATAGCACTCACCACATCATTGATCCTCTTTGAAAAATGAAGAATGGGGGCAGTGGTGTAGTGGATAGAGTACTGGCCCTGGAGTCAGGAGGACCTGAGTTCAAATCCGGCCTCAGACATTTGAGACTTACTAGCTGTGTGACCCTGGGCAAGTCACTTAACCCCATTGCCTGACCAAAAAAAAAAAAAAGGAAAAGAAGAAAAATGAAGAATGAACAAAAACCATTCCTACTCAGTCTCCTTTACTGGATCCTCATTCAGATCACGTCCTTTAACTGTAGATGTCCCTCAGGGTTCCGTCCTGGGTCCTCTTCTCTGCTCCCTCTATACTACCTCACTTGGTGTTCTTATTAGCTCCCATGGATTTAATTACCATTTCTTTGCTTATGGTTCTCAAGCCTACCTATTCTGTTCCAACCTCTCTTCTGGCCTCCAAACTTACATCTCCAACTGTCTTTTATATATCTTGAACAGTAGACATTTTAAATTAAACATATCAGAAATGGAATTTATTATCTTTCCCTCAAAACTTCTACCACTTCCTACCTTCCCTATTACTATAGAGGACACTGCCATCTACCCAGTCCTTCAGGCTAGCAACCTATGAGTCATACTCAACTCCTCACTATGTCTCACCTCATATATCCAACCTGCAGATTTCATCTTTGTAACATCTCTCAAATATGCCCCTCTCTCTCCTCTGACACAGTGGTAACACCACTCCTGCACCAGCAGACCCTCATCATCTCACACCTGGACTATTGCAATAGCTGCTGGTGGGTCTTCCTGCCTCAAGTCTCTCCCCACTCCAATCTTTTCTCCAGTCCCTAAAGTGATTTTCCTAAAGCACAGGTCTAACCATGTCACCATCCTACTCATTAAACTCCAATGGTTCCCTATTGCCTCCATGATTGAATACAAAATTCTGTTTGGCATGTAAAACTTCTCATAACCTAGCCCCCTCCCACCTTTCCAGTTTTCTTATACCTTACTCCTTGCCACATGTTCTTTGATCTAGTGACACTGGCCTGCTGGCTGTTCCCTGAACAAGACTGTCCATCTCTCAGCTCCAGGCATTTTCTCTGGCTATCCCCCACTCCTAAAATCAACTCCACTTACTGGCTTCCCTGGCTTCTTTTAGCCACAAAGGGCATCTCAACTGAGACGGTAGAGGGGAAGGAGAATCATGGGAGGTTTGAGGAGAGATGAAAAGGTTTGGAAGAGCAGCTGCGGAGAATGTGATAGTGAGTTAATAAGGCAGCCTAGAATCAGCGAGGATCTAGTTGAGATTGTGCAAAGTAAATTTGTAGTGAACCCAGTTAGAATGGCTTCATGATTTTCTGTACTTTTAAGTCTCAATGAAAATCCCATCTTTCACAGCAAGCCTTTCCCAGTCCCTCTTAATTCTAGTGCCTTCTTCTCTTAATTATTTCCTATTCTGTATATACCCTGCCTAATATATTTGTTTGTTGTTTCCCCCGTTAGATTGTTAGCTTCTTGAGAGCAGAGATTCTTTAGCCTCTTTTTGTATCCCCAGCACTTCTGTCTGTATCAGTGCCTGATAATTAGGCACTAAATAAATGTTTGGTTGATTGGTCTAAATTATTAAATAGCAGGGAATTTTACAGTATCCAGCTAACCCACTTTTCATACAGTGAAATTTTAATGCAAAAAAAGCCACTAGATGTTAAATTTTAGTGTTGATAACATAATTTGTGGTCTAGTACCTGTGGGTGAACTTATTAAAACCACACCAGCAATAACAATAAATCCAACCTTGATGGGAGATTCAAGAACATTCCGGCCCATCAAATTTATTGTTAAGAAAATAAGGACTTACCTCTTCATCTAAATAGAAATAAGCTTTAACCTAAACCCAGTTTGGCAGCTTCATTTTACATATAA